GATGGGCAGGAGATGGGGATCCAGCTCTTGACGCAGACCGGCTTGCAGGCCTTTACGCAGAAGTTATTGCAGTGGGACAACTGCATGGGGACCCCGCAAGAGCAGGACGGGGTCAGCACGATCGGCTTGCACGAGCAGAACGGGGTGGGACCAACACTGCACGAGCACGGTGAGGCCATAAGCGAAGCACATCCGCAGCTGCGCTTTTCTCGAACCGCTACGGCCTGAAATTTTGAAAAATTCCACCATTTTTCCTAGCCAGAAAAGGCAAAGCTAAACTGTAGCCACCTCCTCTTCTGCTTGAGTTTTCACTACAGCGAGCAGTAGAACTCCGAATACAATTGGTGTCTGCATTCTGAAGATGTTGATCAGTTGCTGTGTGCTGCTCCGAACAGCTCGCAGACGCTTTTATACCTCGTAGAAGCAGGTCATGAGCATATCATTCCAGCTCCGACCTTTTTCTTTTTTTTTCATCCCGCTACTCAAACGACGTGTATTCCAGTCATAGCATACTCATGTATGATGATTTTCACTTCGAAAATAACCCGGTTATAGAGTGCGCTCGAAATTTGAGTGATTGTCTCGAAAAAGTGGGTAGCTCAACTTCTTCGTGCCTCTAATTCAGAGCGACAACGATCCAACATCTCAAAGGAGTAGCTAATTCTCAATTTGTGGAATGTGCTCAGGATAGCTAAGCTATAGCGTCTCTTGGATGAGACAAATTAAGAATGTTATATTGAGGTGAACTCTTCTTCATCGTCTGAAGTTATCTTGCTAGTCATTCATACAGACTTGTTCCCTTTTAAAACCACCTAAAGGGGTCCATGTTAACATGTATTTTTAACATAAATTTTGTTATTGCAGTTTACCTTATTTTCACCCTTGTTTTTAGTAGTTGGATTGTTCGAATTCATTTAACTGTGATTTGTGCACATTCTATGAGTTTCATGAGACAGTATTCATTCTACCCAGTTTTGATTCAGAATTTACTCCAATATCAGTTTGATGCTTGCAGCTCATCTCTCACTCGTCTGGCGTTTAGGTCGTTAGGCGGTTCTCCCCGCTCCAAACTCGGGGTCAGCGATCGCCCCGTGGAAATCAAGAGTTGGC